GGTTATTTTGGCAAAACCTCTAAAATGTGGTTATTTTGTGGCAAAGGGTTGTGTAAACCGGTTATTTTTATAAATTTCCCTAATTATAATATCTCTGTATTTTAAATTCATTTCAACCTCATTTTTGGTTTGTTGGATTATCTAGATTTAATTTTTGGATATAATTGAATCTTTCAAATCCATGGGAAGAGGGGTAAATTGCTAAAATCGAAACATAGAGGGGTATCATTCTGAAAGTACATAAATTCTTGGGATTTAAGGACAATCTAAACAACCTTGCATTCATAATTACACATATACATATTCGAGAGCAGAGAGCCAGAGAGAGACAAGCATGGCCATCTTTAATTATCAAACAAAATCAATGATTACACCAAACCGCGTGAAATGCGCCCAATTTCGAAACCTTTGCCAGCTCTTCTTTTTGGGGTTTACCCCTTTTCATCATCCATAAATACTTTACAAGTTGTCACCACAATATGACAAACCCAATCCACAAATAGATGCCCTAAGTGGAGATTTGATAGCGATTATTCAGCATTTGTTCTTAGATTTTGCTGTTTTCATCGACATTTGACCAATCGTTCGTGATTTTAGTCTGGTATGTCTCCATTTCCCTTTCGTAATCACTAGGGTTTTGCTTTTTGCTGTAGAATACTCTGTTTTTGTTCATTTTCTGTAGGGATCTAATCTAACCCAGTTTTTGTTGAAGTTATTGAGAATCTGTTCTGAAAATGCAGTTTCCTGTTTAAGGGCTCCTTTTATCTGCTGTTTTTTTTTGTTAAGTGCTCTTCAGAAGCTACTGAAACACTTCATATGGATTCATCTTCAAGATGAAAGGTTAAAAATACCCATGTAATATATAACTGAGGCTTACATAAGAATGCTAAATATAGTGAGGTAAGAAGTATAAGTTAAGGGAGATTTATATGCATATCTGAGCCAATATGAATAACCTGCGGCATTAGTTCGTATATGCTTCTTCAAATAGATTTCACTTTACATAGGACCCAGAATTGTTTGGTCCTATAAGCTTCTAACTCCTGTAAAGCAATCTGTCAGAATATTTAGATATATTTGGCGTCCTTTAAAGCTGATTTTGTCATAGTGATTAATAGAAACTCTGTTCTGAAATCGTAGTACCCTCTTCAAGATTTGCAAAGATTAATGATTCCCAGATGACAGAAACAAATTTAAGAAACAGATTTTGAATTTTTGCAGGGATTTTTACTTGGATTTGGTGAAATGAAAGAGAAAGTTATGGCCCATTTGATGATCTTAATTGTGGGTTTATTGAGTATTTGTGTGGTGAAAGCAGAGGACCCTTATAAGTTCTTTACTTGGACTGTTACTTATGGAACTACTTCTCCTCTTGGTGTCCCTCAACAGGTGCTGGATTATTTAACCCCTTTAATTATGTTATTATACTTGTTTTAGTTTTGTGAATTAATGTTTTGACTTATTTCAGGTTATCTTAATCAATGGTCAATTTCCTGGTCCTAGGCTTGATGTAATCACAAATGACAATATTATCCTCAACCTCATCAATAAACTGGACCAGCCTTTCCTCTTGACATGGTGAGTCTTTTTGTCAATTCACATGTGGGCTGTGGCTAGCAAGATCAATATAGTAGTATATTAACCTACTGAGTTTAAGGTATTATTTGTGTTTATGTGCATGTTGGATTTATGTTTTTGAAACCTAGAGATGCGCAAGACTCGGGAATTTCGGGCCTGGGCCTTCCAAACCTATGTCCAGTAAGAAAAGAAGACTCTGGGCTTTTTGGGCCTGGGCCTTCCAAGCTTGTGTTCAATAAGAAAAAAGAGTCTGGGGCTTTTTTGGGCCCGGGCCTTTGGTTGTGAAAGTAGGTCTGATCGGGTCTTTTCAAGTCCGGTTTTCCGGGCTTTTGCAAAAGAACATGGCCGATCGGGCCTTTACTCTTGGCTTGGGCTTGCTAGGTGCGGGTTTTTTGGGCCGGCTTCGGGCTTCTTGTACCTCTCTAAATGTACAACTCACTATTTCTTGCTCCTTTTTTTTCCTTTTTGTGCTTACTATGTGCTAGTCTTTGTTCCTTTTACCTTTTTGCTCGAATTCTTAAACAAGTCGGGAGTCTTCATGTAAACAACCACTCTACTCTTTGGAGTAGATGATACGCCTGCATGAATTTTACCCCTCAGACCTTACTTTTGAGTGAGATATTAGGTGTCGGTTTTGTTTGGTTTGTGGCTTTACTCAAGTTGATCCGAGTCATCCTGATGTGTATCACAAGGAATATGGGAGATGTTTAACTTGACGTTCCTAAATGTTCCATTTCTAGGAACGGAATTAAACAAAGAAAGAATTCATGGCAAGACGGGGTTTTGGGCACAAACTGCCCGATTCCTCCAAACTCCAACTTCACATACAAGTTCCAACCAAAAGATCAGATTGGAGGCTACACTTACTTCCCATCAACCGGAATGCACAAAGCCGCCGGTGGTTTTGGAGCTATCAACATATACGCTAGACCTCGTATCCCCGTGCCATATGCAATTCCTGCTGCTGATTTTAATTTGCTTATTGGTGATTGGTACAAATCCAACCATAAGGTCAGGATTATATATATGATACAGTAATATATACTTACTCTCTTTGTCCAAAAAACGCAAGGTCAAATCTTGAAATCTTGAAATCTTGAAATTCAAAGTTTACGTTGATGTTTTCAGATTGTTAACTCAAAAAGCTTCTAAATTTGTTAATTTTGTTATATATTATTGTGGGTATCATTATTTTTTTATATAACTTAAACAGATCTTGTTGAATTTGAGGATAAGAATCGATAAGTTTGACTCTTGAAAGTCAATGATTTGAAAGCAACATGCTTTACATGATTTCGTTCTTGTTTGTTTGCTTATTTTTGGATTAAAAACTCGTTTTATGATTTCAGGGATTACAGCAATATCTGGAATCGGGGAGATCTCTTCCGTTTCCGGATGGCATTCTTGTAAATGGACAAACTCGAACCACGTTGAGTGGTGATCAAGGTAATTATCGGGCCTCAATGTCGCTCCTTTAAAGAATACCGTTTCTCAACTTTTCGGATTATAGAAAATGAATTTTGTTAGGGTGCGTTTGGTACGCTACACAGAACAATACAAAAACTTATTATCCCATCTTTGGCTCGACATTAGATTGAGGAAAAATTGCATTTTTTGTCCGGTGGAACAAAAATAAGAAAACGGGAAAAGATTGGTAAATTACTAAACTGCCCATGTCAAATTAACACCCCAAAACCTTCCACAATTCTTTCACCCACCTTCCAGTCTTGTATAGTCCGGTTCGAGTACCAAACGCATACAGATTTCGCACGAATTTGGTAGCTCGTTTGTTTGACTTTTGAAAGTCAAGGCAATACTTTCTTAGTAACATTGCCATTCTTGGATTTTTTTTTCAGGTAAAACCTACATGTTCAGAATCTCGAATGTAGGTTTATCGACCTCCTTCAACTTTAGGATTCAGGGACACAAAATGAAGCTAGTCGAGGTTGAAGGATCGAATGTGGTTCAAAACATATATGATTCACTTGATGTGCATGTGGGTCAATCGATTTCGGTCCTTGTTACGTTGGATCAAACCCCAAAAGATTATTACGTTGTTGCATCAACACGGTTTACCAGAAACATCCTTACTTCCGTTTCAGTATTACATTATGCCGATTCCCAAACACCGGTCTCGGGTCCGATCCCAGCTGGCCCGACTTACCAAATACACTGGTCTATGCAACAAGCTCGAACATACAGGTATAAACATTTACGCCCATATCCACCTTTCCTTTAAATTCGAGCTTTTTAATTTATATCGGGCCAAAATGCAACGAAATTTGCCTTAGTTCGTATTTAGTAACCAAACCAAATCGACTCCGTAAATCCTACTCGAAAGTGGGGTCTGGTGTGAGATGTACTTAGACCTCTACCCTAAAGTGTAAAATGAATTTTTGTCTGAAGAGTAAATTACATTTTCGTCCCTATGGTTTGTTAAAAATTGCCACTTCGTCCATGTGGTTTTGGAATTGTGTTTTTTGTTCTTGCGGTTTGCAATTCATTGTCGTTTTCGTCCGAGGCTAGCTTCTATCTTTAAATATGAGGGATGAAAACAACAATGGATTGTAAACCACAAAGACGAAAACAACAATAAATTGAAAATATTAAGGACAAAAACAACAATGAGTAACAAACCATAGGGATGAAAATCATAATTTCAGAAGTATGGGGACGAAAATAGCAATTCTCAGCAAACCACAGGGACTAATAATGACTTCGAACCATTAAGAGGCAGACTTTTTTTTTGCCAAACAAGATTCACCTTTTAACGATTCAGATGTTGCCTCTTAATGGAACTATTAAGAGGTAAACAAAAAAAGTGGAAAATGTCATATCGAAATCAACCAATCAACATAGGTTGAAAACCGTTTATGAGGTAAAAATGAGTACAAAATAGGAAGAATTTGACACTAACCGAGAGAAAAAATGAATTGTGACGACAAATAGAAACTAGAGTAAATTTTGTTACATTTTGCACTATATATTATCGACATTTTACAAATAAACCTTGTTTGATTGATTCTGATTCTGATTTTCGTTCTCTTTTTTATGTTTAGATGGAACTTAACATCGAATGCAGCAAGGCCGAACCCACAAGGTTCATTCCATTATGGAACGATCACGCCCACAAGGACGATCGTGCTAAGTAACTCGGCTAACCTCATTAACGGCAAAAAACGATATGCTGTCAATGGGGTGTCGTACATTAATGCAGACACCCCATTGAAACTTGCCGATTACTTTAATATCCCTGGTGTTTATAGCATGAACGCCATTCAAGCCTTTCCTAGTAACGGTGCCCCCATTTTAGCGACATCCGTCATGCCAGCCTCGCATCACGACTTCCTTGAAATTGTTTTTCAAAACAACGAGAACATCATGCAGTCGTGGCATCTTGATGGCTACGATTTCTGGCCTGTCGGGTAAGTTTCTATAGATACATGCTTGCTTTCTATATAGTTGTCGGTTACTACAACAAAATTGGTTTTACAGGACGCCATATTATGTTGTTTGGTTGGATTTTTATCTTGTATGGATAAAACCTGTCTGTGTGGATAAAGAGAAATTCAAAGGGGTTTCACATATCTAACAAATATGCAACACCTCACCGGATCCCATCAGAACTCCGCAGTTAAATATGCAACACTGTATAAAAGTTTATTAACTCCGGTGTGGCAATAAATGCAGATACGGATCCGGGCAGTGGACTCAGGCAAGCAGAAAGAGCTACAATCTAGTGGATGCTCTTACGAGACACACGGTGCAGGTAAATTCAGTAGAATTTATTTTACCGTATTAGTACGTAATTGGATGTTCAAACTATCGTTTTTGGCTTTTCGTTGTGAATAAACCATCACATTTTTCGACCTGAAAACTCTCAAACATGATGGTATCAGAGCAGGGTCTAGCACTACTTATGGAGGACTCGACTCTTTTTTGCCTCCATTCTTAGGGGCACTATCTAGCCTCAGTTTGATGGGGCGTGTGCATCAGTTAGGCACATACCATCAAAACCTATACGTACAAGAATTTCATATCTATCTATAAAGGCTTTCTTGGAGAGAGATTCAAAAGGGTTCCTTGTATCCTACATGTTATTAGAGCAGGGTCTAGCACCACTTACGGACTCGACACTGTTTTTTCCTCTATTCTTAGGGGCACTATATAAGCCTTCGTTTGAGGGGGCGTGTGACATCAGCTAGACACATACCATCAAAACCTATAAATGCAGGAATTGATATTTATGTGTAAGGCCTTTTCTGGAGAGAGATTCAAAAGGGTTCCTTGTATTTTACATGGTATCAGAGCAGGGATCTAGCACCACCTAGGGATTAAAACATTCTTTTTTGCCTCCATTCTTAGGGGCACTATCTAGCCTTTGTTTAAGGGGGCGTGTGGCATCAGCTAGACACATACCATCAAAACCTATAGATACACGATTTTCATATCTATCTATAAGGGCTTTTTTTGGAGAGAGATTCAAAAGGGTTCTAACATATTCTAATAATAACCACGTGTACACACGTTGCAGGTATACCCGAACTCATGGAGTGTAATTTATGTATCGTTGGACAACCAAGGTATGTGGAACTTAAGGTCTGCGATGTGGGAACGACAATATCTCGGTCAACAATTCTACCTCCGAGTTCACAACCCCGTGCAAAGTCTCGCAAACGAATACGACATCCCTTCGAATGCTCTCCGTTGCGGTAAAGCCGTCGGACGATGATCTTAAACCGTTCGTTTATCGTCTTCTACAACGGTCATGAAGGGTTGACCGTCGACCGAAAACGTAGGCCTTATGTAACACCACAATATGTTTCACATCCCACCTGGTTTCCGATAAATTTAGACGATTCAAACATGTTTCCAAATATTAGAACTTGTTTTTCTTTTTAATTCCAATATTTATTCTTTATTATCCCTTTTATTTAAAAAAACAAATGTTGTAATTAATTGCTATATTTTATTTGGGGATCCTATTTGAGTCTATAAAATTATGATAACCTTAAGAACTGATACATCTTGTATTAATTCATATGTTTTTTTTATCTACGGCTTGTATTTAGTGTATTGATTAACATATATTTGTTTCACAATGTAATATTTTTTATGTGCCTGTGAAAAAAAAAAACTAAAAAAATTTCATGTTAATGTAGTGAGTGATGTAGTATCTAACTCAATATTATTTGCTGACATGGTTAGTAACATGAATTTTTTTATTCTAAAATTAGTTTTCAACCAGTTATCCAGGTATTTAAATGTTTAAAACTTTACATCTTAGATACCAAAGTAAAAGTTTTAAAAATACGTTATCAAAAATAAGAATCAAATTAGAGTACGTTAATCTTTTATACAATTTGCCCTTAAAAAAATTGAAAAAAGGGATTTTAAAGTAAAATTAGTGTTGGCTTGCTTATAATGTCGGCAGGCACGTGAAGGTGATGAAAAGGCACGTGAGTTAGAGAATGGGAATATACATATTATGGTAATTGCAGGCTTAAATTCTTTAAAAGCCTTCCTATTGATCTGTTCTTGGGATTCACTTTCCACAATTGACTTATTTAGTATATAACACCTTGACTTTTTGACCTGCTTTTTTTTTCCTTCTTGATTTATGTTTTTTCCTATATTTGGAAATATATATATATATATATATATATATATATATATATTAAACATTAAAAAATAAAACATAAGTAAGTGTTTACTGGTTTAATTACCTAATCGAAAGAGCATAACAAAAACTGATAACCTTATCATGTAATAATTGAGAGTCTTAACTGGTAAATTAATTTTCTTGTTGGATTATAAACGTTTACCATCAATCCATTTTGATGGCAATGAATGTTATCCAATAAGTGAAAATGATGATTCTTACCGATAAGCGCTTACCTTGTAAATGTTTGATAAACGACTCCTAAAACTAAAATTTAAAGAACAGTATTCGACCAATTGTCTCCATATGTCACTTTGAAACTTCAGGATGAGACACAAGACATGTTGGACCTATACGTTTACGATGGTTTGTGTTGATCATGTCGTATCAGTCTCGATGGTAATCACAATTGATCAGGTTTTAACGACTATTCTTGTCCAAATGGTTAATGTTGGAGCCTGATATTGGTTAAACACGTATTGTCAAACCTGCATGTATTTAGGAGCTTCTCTTATATCTATAAGGGTTATCAATCGACATACAACAAATAAGAGCAATATTAAAAATTGTCTTACAGGAGTCGTCTACAAAATGTTGTTTTTTATGAATGGTGTCATAGGCTATGTTTGCACTAATCCTGGAAAATTGTGACTACAAAAAACCAGTCTTGATAAACTCAGTGACTACAATTGTTGTGTACATTTGGAATTGAACTTTGAGCAGATGAGATATTGTCTACCAAATGTTTATTGGGTAAACGCTTAACTGTAAGAGTCATCACCTTCGCTTACTTTATCGGGTAACATTTTCGGTCATCAAAATGAATTGCTGGGAATCATTACTAACCGGGTAAGAATCTTTTGTCTCACTCGGTCATTGCTATGCTTCTTACCGGATAAAATTATAAGTTCTTCCCATACTCACCCTGTAAAGTAAGGGTCTGTTTACCAAATACTTGCTTTGTAAACGCTTATCGGCAAAATTCAACATTGCAACTTATCTTACCGGGTAAGATTCTAGTCCATCAATACGACATCGTATGGAACAATTTACCCGGTAAGCGTTAACTGGGTAAGAGTCGTCAACTTCAATTACTGAGTAAAACTCTCAATCATTGTCATCGCTTTTACTTAGTAAGATTCTTGTTTCTTAACATATTAATCCGGTAGGCTAAGTGACGCAATGGGCATTTACTGGGTAAACGTTTGGTAAATGACCTCTAAGTGATACCATTATGCGCTTACCCGATTAACAACCCGTTAAATTATCTTTTGTAGAACAAGATAAATGGTCAAAATTAAAGTAAAAATATTTAAATTTATTAAATATATTTAGGGGTTGAGTTATGGTGAGAAGACAAGTTATACTCTTAAATTAATCTTAATCGAAGATAACATTAATGAGATACATCAGATCAATTCTCTTATAAAATGTATGTCATGAATAAACATACGATCAAAAATGATCAAAAATGAAAACCATTTCTTACGCTTCTCAACTTAACTCTTTTTCTCATACGATACGAAATCCTATTTGCAGTCATATTTACAAGGTTAACGGGGTGTTTGGAATTGCTTATTTAAAACAACTTATGTTTTTTTGTAAAAATGTTTATTAACTTATGTGGTATCAAACTGGAGTTAAATAAAACATGGTTAAAATTGTAAACTGGTAATAAACAGTTTTTCATAAGTCAGGAAGAATTAACTTATCAAAAACAGCTTATTACCGGTTTGACATCGGTATAAGCAATTTTTTTCTTATCCAAACACTAAAAAACAACTTATCACTACTGAAATAAGTTAAAAAAGAGCTTTTATAAACAATAATAAACACCCCTAAATGTGAAACGACTGTGAAGAGTTTGGAAGATCCATCTCGCGGGGAAACATGAATCCGACCCGATCCACGGAACCCTCGAATGGTTTTCGCGCCTTACATTCAGCGTGCAATTCGCTTAAACCGTAACCTTCTTCCCTCCTTCGATTCTCTCCATCCATCATGATTACCCAATTTAATGGCTGATCCGTTCTCCATTGCGACATTCTAGGGTTTCACCGACGAATCTCAATCCCCTATCCACCTCACTCATTTTGGATTAAATACATCTCAAGCAAACTTCCCATTTTTATAATCAGATCAGCTACTGCTGATTAACACTGATAGTTATGATCATTAATAATCAGCATGAAGTGCGCCGTACTCGATCTTCGTTTCTTTACTGGGAATCGCTTCCTCGTTATTCATCCTGGTGTTTTACGCGGCCTTCTGTATATAAACTGTTCAATGGAGTTGCATCTCATCATCAACTCTCATCTGCTTGTTGTTACTCATTCTTTCTCGATTCAAATTGGTGGAGACTCACTCTGCCTTGCTTCCTTCAAGTCTGTAAGTATCTGATTTTAATTGCTAGAATGAATGAGTTACTTAACTTTGTGTGATTCAAAATAATTTCTCATCATCATTGTTTTGTTGATTTGGATTATTTGTTTGGGGCAGATAGTATTGAGGACGTTTGTAATTTAGATATTCAACAAACAAAAAGATGTTTTTTGATCATTAGAAGCTCCATTTGAAATTTATGTTATGAATTTTTAAGACTTTAGTTGCAGAGATTGTTTTTAGTTTTTCATAATGCATGTTCTTAAGCCATCCTCGTACAATACAGGTATCAGATTTTGGGGAGGACATATCCTGACGACATGAAACAGGTCAATTTCCTACCGTTTTTTCTTGGACTTTTGGCTTGGGCGTGTGTCTCCTGTGTGAAGGCTGAAGACCCATATAGATTTTTTACTTGGGTAGTTACATATGGACAAATTTCTCCTCTTGGGGTTTCACAAAGGGTAAATTATTCATCACTTATTTTAGTTCTTGTGATGTTTTAAAATGATATTAACACTCTTAAAGGTATTACAACTTCTTGTATGTAATTATTGCAGGGAATACTTATCAATGGGCAATTTCCAGGCCCAATCGTTAACTGTGAAACCAATGACAATATCATTATTAATGTCATTAATAAGCTGGATGAGCCTTTCCTTATCACATGGTGCGTGGTTTGAACTTCATATTCCTTTTCTATTCCCTCTCTTTCGTTCTGTTTTCTGAAGAAAGTTTAATGCTGCTTTTATGTGGTTTTTGCTGTTTGTCGAGTTCTTCAGTTTATAATTTTGATTCAAGTACATAAGCAATAACTTTGAAATGGGGAACAGGAACGGCATCAAACAGAGAAAGACCTCATGGCAAGATGGAGTTCTGGGGACAAACTGTCCAATTCCACCAAAATCGAACTGGACATATCATATGCAAGTGAAAGATCAGATTGGAACCTTCTCTTACTTCCCTTCAACAGTGATGCATAGAGCTGTTGGTGGTTTTGGGGCATTCAATATCCTAGCAAGGCCTGTGATTTTTGTCCCATATCTTAAACCTGCTGCGGAATTCACTCTACTTGTCAGCGACTGGTGGACATATGATCACAAGGTTTGCAATCTATGGGTTCTCTTGCTTTCCTTTTCATTCTTCCAAGAGGTCTTTGGAAGTTCTCACATTATAGATCTTCAAATTTCTCAGAGGATGGTCATGTCTTTCTTAAACTTGTTAATTCATTCACCTCTTCTGTTTATAAGGGCTTTAACAGTTCGGTGTCCCATGATATGAACATGTTTCATTCTATTTAAGGTTGAAATTCTGTGATTCAGGGCTTCTGCTTCTAACTCCTCAGTGAAATTCTGTAAACATTGAATATGTTGATACTTGGAATTATACAATTATTAATTAGGTTCCTGGTTTTTATCGTATAGAAACGACAAATTAATGCCATTGCCAAACAGTTAATGATTCCTTTTTTGCAGGCACTACAACAGGTACTCGACTCAGGGAAATCTTTTCCTAAGCCCAATGGTCTCCTTATTAATGGAAGTCCTCGTGCTACTTCTTTCACTGGTCGAAAAGGTACCGATCCTCTTACCCATTAATTTTATGTATTAATGTCTCATCTTCATATTGGAACATGCTTCATAAACTTAATTTGATATGGGTTCTTTTAATAATGATATTCATAAGTCATAACTAACTCCCTTTTGTTGCATTTCAGGTCAACGTTACTTGTTTAGGGTGTCAAATGTGGCCTTGACAACTTCAATAAATTTTAGGATCCAAGGCCATACATTGTCTTTGGTTGAAACAGAAGGAGCTCATACCCTGCATGAATCATATGAATCATTTGATCTTCATGTCGGTCAATCAGCTTCTTTCTTGGTCACCCTACAAGCTCCTTCAAAAGATTATTTCATCGTGGCTTCAACTAGATTTACAAAGCCTGTACTTACTGCTACTGGAATTCTTCATTATGATGGCTCCACTGCCAAAGCTTCTTTGCCATTGCCTATTGCGCCTACATATCAGATTCACTGGTCAATGAAGCAGGCCAGGACAATCAGGTAAACATTTTAATTTCTCCTTTGAATTCTCACACTTTTTACACGTCAGTGGTCTTTAGAGTTGCAACTGCATTACTCTGAGGCATAAGTCTGGTCTGTGTACATCTTATTATCCTCCCTAGACCCCACCTACAGGTGGGATATACTGGGCTTGTTTGGTTTGAAACTTGAAAGCAGTATTTACCTTTCGCTTGCCTTTGTAGATGGAACTTGACAGCAAATGCAGCAAGACCCAACCCTCAAGGTGCATTTCACTTTGGAACGATCCCAGTAGCTAGGACACTCGTGCTTGCTAATTCAAAAGCTAAGATTAATGGGAAGCTTCGGTATGCTGTGAATAAGGTGTCACACGTCAACCCAGCCACCCCACTGAAGCTTGCTGACTTTTATAACATTCCTGGAGTCTACAAACTAAACTCAATCAAAGATAGACCTTCTCCTGGTCCGATAACTCTTGCCCCATCTGTACTTGGTTTTGCTCTTCATGATTTTGTTGAAATCGTCTTCCAGAACAATGAGAACTCTATTCAATCATGGCATCTTGATGGTTATGATTTCTGGGCTGTTGGGTAAGCTTCTTTGTTTTTTTTGGATTAATTATAAAGAAAAAGAAGCAGCCTTTGTTTTGCTTGATTCACCAAGAACCAGAATACTTATTACATATATCATGATTGGCAAATTGTAGATTTGGTGGTGGGCAATGGAATTCAACACTAAGGAAAAAATTCTACAATCTGAACGACGCTACTACACGACACACAGTCCAGGTAACCAACACATCCTGCATTTAACCATCTTACTTGCTTTTCATTCCATATTGAAACCCCTTTGAATCTCTCTCTCCAAGAATCTTTATAGAGAAACAGGAGATCCTACATATATACAGATTTGATGGTTCCTGTGCTGATATGGAACTCCAAATATAAACAATCCATTTCCGCAAACAACGTAAAAACTACACATTTTAGCAAATCTGAGAACAAAAGGAACCAGGTACATGGGTTCTTTGCGAATTTGTCAGATTTGTGGAAACCCCATCAGATTACTCTCCAAAAGAGCCCTTGAGCAAAGAAAGGGAGAGAGAGTGGGGGGTCCAACATATATCGAGGAGAAAGTGTCTATGTCTAGCAAATGTGGGACTCTAAAACACCCTTTTAAACGGAAGCTAGACGGGCAAAGATGTCTCAAATGGTAGATCTTGCTTGGATACCATATGAGAATATGCGAAATCCCATCAAAATACTCTCCAAAAGAGCCTTTAAGAAAGAGAAGAAACTTCCAACATATATCCAAAATAAAGTGTCCAAGTCTACCCGACGTCTGACTCTAATAGTCAAGTATCAACATTTTTACAACAATAACGGTTAATTTGTAACAAAAGGTCGAATATGTTAGTTGAAAACGTCAGAAAGTTCTTCTTGTGACGATTTTGTTGTTCGATTACTTGCCAGGTTTATCCGAAATCTTGGAGTGCAATATTGGTTTCGTTGGACAACAAGGGTATGTGGAATTTGAGATCGACGACTTGGCCAAGGCAGTATTTGGGACAACAATTGTATGCTCGAGTGTGGAACGACGAGAAGAGTCTTTACACCGAATACGATGCACCCGAAAACGTGTTGCGGTGCGGAAAGGCACGCAAGTAGAAAAACGATGTCACTTAGAATTGTTGCAGTTTTTATTCTCTCCTTAGTTACGAGGGTGTAACCATGGGCATGTAGGAGAACAAAAATAATTACGATTTCATTTGTGTTCAAATTGTTTCTATAAAAACATCAATACAAATGCATCCCCTTCAATTTATGTGACTTTAAATGTTCAATCAACTTTTTATTCTTAATTTTGTATTTATATTATGGTTGGTGAAATTCTTATTGTCTGGGTTTTTAAGATGTTGTTTCACATATATTTGTTTCATAATATGATACTTTACAAGTATATGTTTTATCATCTGAAACTTTTTTACATGTATTTTTTGTTTCATTGTGAACCAAAAAAATGTGTCACGTGTTCCTTTTTTAGTATGTGAACACATACATATGTAAAACAATATCTTTTGATAAGAAAATAATTTTATATTGGTTTGTAACTTTTTGTGATTCAGATTTGATTATCATATTATGCGTGTGTATGTAAATGTATATAATGTCTCTTGTCATAACTATGATCTCAATCCTCTATTAATCAAAACGTTATACAATTATAACATCTCCAACACTTATTTTAAAGAGATTTGGGAAAAGTTTGTTCTGATAATTATGTTAAACTCTCCTTTTAAAATGAAGAAAAAAAGAGAATGAGAAAATCTCTATATTTAAAAAGAAAATATATATATATATATATATATATATATTATAAAGCATTTGATAAAAACTCTTAAAAATCATTTTTTATATATAAAATACTGTTTGTTGATGCATATTACTTAAAATTTAAGGTTACAAGTAAATTGTGCATAAGTAGAACTTATTAAAGCTTTATTTTTGAATTCGTATAACTAACTACAGATAAACATAATTAAATATAGAATAAACATCTTATTTTAAATATAAAAAATATAAAATATAATTAGGATAATCATCGAGTTCTAACAGAATCATATTTTTATAAAAATTATATTTTTAAGCTAAAAATAAATTGCTTTGCTATTAGACCTAAATTGAATTATAAAAAAAAAATTGAATTAAAGAAATTGTACAAAAAAAAAAGAACTTTTAAATAGTTAATTTAATATTAATATCGACATATTTAACGAGAACCCTTATGTTTTGTCAAACTACAAGAATAATTGTGGATCTCTAATCTTTTTAACCAATTATTTAAATCATAATAAATAAAAATATATCAATAAGAGTAGTAATGTAATTAAGTATTTTTTTTAATGTTTATGTTATTTTAATTAATTATAATTATCCCATGATTTTAGGTTGGAACTGATCACGTCGAATCTCACGTCCCCATCCTCATCGTTTTATGTATCTGCAATGTGATACCTGATCATCTTGCTTGACTCGAAGTATTAACTGTGATAGCAATGTGATTATCAATCCATTTCTGCATATCGATTCAAACTGTTAACTGTAATAATCATGTGATACTCAGACAACTTTTGTTAATCGATTCATCAACTGTGATAACAATCCCTCAGCACTCAATCGCTACTAATAATGTCATACTAAGAACCATATAACTACTCTACCGTGTGAATGGGAACACGTTGGATCGGGTCATGTGTTTTTAAATGGTCATGATCCGCAGAATTCATGGGCTAGAAAGTTTTGGGCCGGCCCAGTTATGTAAGAATATTATTTACGATTTTTCAAATCATCAGATAAAAGTTATTAACGACAATAACAATTCCAATTCTTTGGTTTAGTGGTATTCGGGTCTTTGGTTTCACAGATGGTTCCAACGTTACTAAATGTAAGAAGAGTGTGTGAGTTTATTTGTTAAATTTGTTATATATAAATATTATAAACCATTCACCACTATAAAATCGGGTTTATAGGACGTCAACAATGTTTAAATATCCTAATAGACCGCTATTCAGGACCTAAGTTTATGAGATCAAACAATAAAGCGTGTTATCTAAAAGTATTGTAATAGTTTTATAAGACGGTTTTTGGCGTCTTAATAAGTTTTTATAACACATATTTTTATAGGACATTTGTTTTTGTAAGACAATTTTCAAATAATGTCTCGTAAATAGTTAATACGACGCCTTATTTTTTAAGTGTTCTAGGAACTTGCTAAAATAAACCTATTGCAAAACTTTCAACTATGACACTTTGTCATTTGGCAAACATAAGCCAACTTATTTTCTGTGTACATGTTTGGTTACCCATAAGCTAGTTTATTGAAACGCTACTTAAAGTAGGGTTTTTGAAGCTTATTGTGACTTTATCCAATTGTAACCCTCATAAATTTTAATTATGATTATTATTATTACTATTAATGATAAATAAATATTAAATAAATTAAATTATTACTATATTAATAAATATTAACCATTTTAATTTTAATCGTACATTATACAATATATATAAATATTAATTATTTATAACAATATTAATCATATTAATTATTTTTATAATCATTATTCAATATAATTATTTATCTAAAAATATTTATGTAAATTACATAAAATTACTTTTTTTATTTTACAAAAATATGTTAAATGCTTCTAATAAAGTATTTAATTTAATTATTAATTATATATTTTAAGAAATAATAAATAATTAGAATATTTGAGGTTCATACTTTTATATTTATCCATGTTATATCCAATGATTATTCAAAATGATAAATTAATAGATTTTTTCTAAAAATTATTTAACAAATTCAAAATTTATAATAATTAATTTGAAATTCCTTAGATAAACATATAATAATATAATTTATTTTTTATATATGTTTTATATTAATTAACATATTATATTTTTTAGAGGTTTGTTTTAATTATATTATAAAATATTGTAATTGATTAATTTTTTAAGATGTTCTTTTTGATCATTTTATATTTTTATAAGATAATTTTTATCAAACATGATTTGTTCATCTATTAGTTTATCAGTCATCAACTAGTTTATCAGTTAACTTATCAGCCAGTTTATCAGCTAACAGTTAATTTACCAAACATAACCTTAAACCATTTCATATTCATATATGGTTGTTATGTATGAAAGCAAACCCACGGTAACATGTCATTAAATATAATAAATATTTATTTCATATTTACAAAGTTTAATTATAGTCATCTCAAAGGTGATTTATCACTTTATTTAGATGATTTTTGAACGTTTTTTATATGCACTTCAGTTATTTATGAAACGATAAATTGCATGAAAACGTAACGTGACTTAACTTGATTTTTATTGGGTTAACATACTTTCAAAACTTCTATTTTAGTATTTAAAATGTAAAGTTTTAAATATTTAAGTACTCGGGTAACCGGTTGAATACCAATTTAAGATTAAAAAAAGACTAATTTTAGATTAAAAAAATCTAAGTCACTAACTATGTCAGCAAATAATATTGAATTGAATATCATGTCACTTGCTACATTAGTATGATAACCGATTAATGATTCAAACGGTTACCCAGGTACTTAAATGTTTAAAAACTTTACATATTGGGTACTAAAATAAAAGTTTTAAAAATACGTTACCTAAAATAAGAATTAAGTTAAAATACGTTATTTTTTCATACAATTTGTCCTTTATGATATTAATACTACTTTTTCCATTAGAATGGTGTAATTTTTTTTAATGCAAAATGATAATTTATCTCTAATATACAACACCATTTTGTACAAGAAACTTAACATTGTAAGTATTTTTTATTTAAACCATTTTTTTTAAAAAAATTGTATAAATAAAACCTGTTACATCAAATTTGGTGCTTTATTATTCATAATAACTCGACGATGATGCAAAATATAGTAAAGCACTCGACAAATAAATTATCGTATATACCAATTTGGTGATTTACTGTTAATTTGTAACTGCAATATGGTACAAAATATATGGGGTGTTTGGGATTGTTTATTTGAAACAACTTATATTTTTATACAAAAATCTTTATCAACTTATTATAAGTTAGAATAATTTAACTTTTTCAAAAACTTCTTATTACTGGTTTAACACCGGTATAAGCTGTTTATCCAAACACTAAAAAGTGTTTATTACCGGTGCTACATCAAAATAAGTCAATAAATTATTTTTATAAGCAATCTCAAACATCCCAATAAATAATGTGTTCATCGAAGATATCATATCATGTAAAATGAAATGACATAAATTGTATTCAACATTCTCATTTCCCTAAAAAGTTGCTTGTTTCACTTTAACATTCTTCTTTTGCAGAGAATATTGTTTTGAATTATTTATTAAAAAATTATATCTGAAACGATTAATTTTTTTTTCGTCTTCTTAATAAATCATCATACAACCATTATCGTATAATATTCCTAATTTGCGTATACCTCATATAGTAAATAGGCAAGACGACTTTACTCAAATGCAAGATGAGCCATGGGTTCGATCCCATGCCTCCTTGCTAGCCTCAGCCGGTGAGTGAGACAAACATTACCTTCTTACATTGGTGTCTTTGAAAGTGAATTCTATTTATAGACGGCTAGGTAACCGGTATTCAACTTTGCCCAAATATTCTCGACCATTTAAAACAGTTATTTTCTTTTTTATTTTTAAGAATGTTTAATTAAAGACTATATATATATATATATATATATATAAGCATTTAGATCAAAGTTTTAATTACAAGTCTCAAAGTATAAAGTACTATCAATTTATGTAAGAGATTCAAAAATCTCTTAAGTACAAACTATTATGCATAATGTACAAACGCTTAAAACATATCATTTGTTTGGTCAAAGTTTCATATTTAAGTAAGTCATATTAACATGAAAAATGTATGTTTGGTCTTCCCAAAATTGTTTGACACTTTGTTTGTTTCCTATTTTGAATCCAAATTCAAATTCAAAGTTCTTCTTTCTCTTGAAGTAAACTGAAATTTGAAGCAACAATATCATAAAAGGTTTCAGATCCTGCATGTACCCCACCCCAACCCTTCAATTTTATATGAATTCAGAAATTCAACATGTGTGCAATTATTTTTCCAATCGATCTAACTAATACATTATATTAGCCTTTAACTTTATATATTCGTTGACTTGTAAAATAACTATACAAACTCATGATTCAAAGTTAAACAAATGTTTCAGAATTGTAATTCATCCGTGCTGCATCACACAGATATACCACTAGTGTGTGTGTGTGTGTGTATATATATATATATAGAGAGAGAGAGAGAGAGGTTGGTTATTATACAACTCTTAACATTTATGCAACCAATACAACTCAATCTCAACCGTCCATTTCATTTGATTAATATGTGATTTCATAGAAGTTTTGATTGTTTTCTAATATAAAGTATTGATCATAATTAATAAACCATATTCATCTTCCATAAATATTTAAATCATAATAAATGAATTCCCATCATTTCCATAAATATCTCAATTAATTGGATTGTATTGGTTATACAAATGAAGATGATTGTATTTGAAATATATTTTAGTATCATTCTTAAATGAGTGGATTAAAATTAATACAATAAGAATGGAATTCATATTAAGAATAGGGGAATTGAAGAATCTTCTCTTTTGCTCCATCAACCATCCACTAAGCAAAAAAGGCAAATCAACCCTAAATATGTTGAGTTAACCAAGAAGATATGCTCACTTATCTATGTGTTTTTCCCCACTCTTTTGATTCCAAACCTTATTTTATTATACTAATCAAATCAAAATTTAATTTAAAAAATAATTTAAATGCATGAAAAATAAACCCATATTCTTCTATGCAAGATTTTCTCAATTATACTTTTTATTTTTACACACACACATATATATATATATATATATATATATACACACACACACACATATATAAAGAATCTTTTTTTGCCATCCCATTATCATGAATGTTGTAAAAATCGACATTTTATTTCAAGATAATATATAGCAACTCATAAGGATATTGGTTTCTTAATTACCGGTGGGAGAATATGTTGAACCTTCGTGTAACATGTTTTTCTTAAAAGAGAATCTTTAAAATAAGAAGAGACGTTTCAACATATATAGAGAAGAACTGATCCAATTTTAGCAGATATGAAACTCTAAGAATTAGAAAGTCTGTAATTCAAGCCGTAAAAACCTGTCTTTTTTTTCGTAAAGGAGAAGAATATGATGAGAAGAGGGTTGGGTTTTCTTCCTTGAATATCCATATAGTTGATCCAGAAGTGTATATATATATATATGTATGTGATATGGTCATATAAATCAAACACTCCTTAATTAAAGCACACATACATATATCATATTAGATAACAAACCATATTCATATACCACACCCCAAATCACCACAAATTGAAGTAACCACAAACCCTAGCTAACTTGATCTTAATTAACTATGAATTAACAAAACAAAAAATATATATATATAAATAAGATTTCTTGATTTAAGGGTATGCACCGTTGGCTGCGGGTAGATCAGACCATGGAAGGTTTTGGTTCCAGAACCCCATCTCACCACTTGCAAGAACTGGAGCAGAATCCAAGATGGTTGAAGTGGTTGTTGAAGATGAAGTGTTGGTGATCACATTGCCACCCAAGATCAAAGGTGTTGGTTGATGATCATGATGGTAATAGTTTGCTGGAGATGATGATCTTAGCCGTTGATACCGTTGATGACCAGAAGGATTGTTTTCTATGTTTTGAACTTCATGACCAGTGGCCATGACCCCTTGTTGATCATGGTGGTTTTGTTGAGCTTGTTGATGATTCAGTTGATTGTTTCTCCACAAAGAGCTGCATAGACCTAATGATGATGCTTGACCTAGGGGTTCGAACCCTAGGTTAGACATGTTTGATCCAACCATAAAGCTTTGATCTTTCATGTGGGTAACTGAATTTGATGCAAAATTAGGGTTAGGGTTTTGGGTGGCTCTGAGTAATGAAAGAAGATGAGAGGTTTGCGGTGGACCGGACCATAGAATCGGGTTCGGAGTGAATTCCTGGTCGAAACCGTTGATGAAACCCGACCTTCCAAGCTCAGATGAGACGACTGCTTTCAGTTTCCCGGTGGCGGAGATTGGCTTCCCTACGGCGGCTGCTATGGTGGTGCCTTTGTTTTTCCGGCATCCGCCGCCAATTGGGACGTTGCGGAGGGCCCCGCCTTTAGTCCAGTAACGTCGGCAAGTCTTGCAGAAATGGCGCGGCTGGGTGAGGTTGTAGTTGTTGTAGTAACAAAACTTTGTGTTGGAGGAATCGCATCGTGGGCATCTCAACTTCTGGTTGTCGGAGGTGGTGGGCGCGTTGTTGCCGACTGTGGTGGCGTTATTGGTGGCTGCGTTGGTGGTGGTGTTGCCATTGGTGGTGGAAGAAGATGGTGAAGGAGAAGGTGAAGCTTCAAAGACTCCAGAAATGGGAAGATTTCGGTCTCGATTTAGAAGCCCAGCAGCACCTCCACCAAACAGCTCTTGGATCATCTTTCACTTTCTTGATTTGAAGATGGAAGTAAAAGAAAGAAACAAGAAAAAGAGGGCAAAAACAACACAAAGTTGGATTTCTTGTACTCTTTTAGGATGAAAATTGTGAGTGGGAGAGAGAAAGAAAAGTGGAAACAAGAGTTGCCTTTGTTGGTTGAATGGCTTTTGGCCAAAGAATAGGGAGATCAAGAATGTGAGGGTTCAAGCTTTAATATAGTGAAATCTCTCTCTCTCTCTCTCTCACACACACACACACAGAGAGAAGGGGGTATGTACTATGTAGCTTGTACTCTCTTCCTTCACAAAAGAATTGCAATAGTTTTTTATTTTATTTCGTCGTATAATATTCTGTGTCAGATAAATCTTTGAACAGTTTATAAGGAAGAGGATGAAAGTTGTGAGTTTCTTGTAACTCTTAAGTTGTGGTCAGTCAATAGCTTTTGAATCCCCACATCAACGATGAATACGGAGTCATGTGTTTAATGAGCCTCACAATGACGTTTTGAATTTAAGCGAGTGAGTTTGTGACAACCTGATGAGGTTAAAATTCGTAGAAGGTGATAATTGTGAGTCATGGATTATCAAATCCCACTGTAATTTTAAGTTGATTTATATTTGTTTGGTTTGGTATGGTTACTGATTTGGGATTTAAAGCATCACATAACCTCTTGTTGTGACGCCATTTATGACTTTAAGTGAAGGTACCCTCTTCCCTTTCGGGGGCATTATCCTCCTTGTAATTCGCAATGGCGCTTTTGAAATGTCGTTGTGTAACTCCTGTCTGGTTCAATGTCGATATAGGCCATATTAATTAGGGTCGATTATTGCCATTTGTTTTTCAAGAATGACAACTACCTTCGTCGTTCAAGTTTGTGTTTTTGCATTTGAAATCAGAGATCTTCTACTTCTTTTTTATTTACTTATTTCACTGATTTATATTTAATTTGAACACATATTTTCTCCTTTTTATGTTATTCCTTAAACCACATGCTTATTATTCTTCTTGCTTATTATTCTTCTTGTACATCGCATCATATGTGTACCTTTTTTATTTAAAGACGTTGCATTTCCATAAAAACCTACACTTCCATTTTGTGCAAAACTTTAGTATGCAATTACCTTTTAAGGTCGTTATAAGATATTGACTCCAAAAACATTTTACTTATGATGTGTCTAATTAAACAGTATACTAATTTCCAAGACATATATAGCATGATACCATGTTGTGAAACCCGTCACCAATAAACAGTGATTTCTAAGCAGAAAGTCAAAATAAGTCAACTATGCTAAATTAGATTTGCAAATCATTCTAAATGACACCAACGCAGAAGAATCAGATTAGATTAGAAGATAAAGTAATAACCTTCAAATATGTGAGAGAGAGAGAGAGAGAGAGTGTGTGTGTATGTGAAATTTTACGTGAAAAAAACCCATGAGTGTGATCTTAAGGAAAATAACCATGAAATGACCTCAGACGGGAAATAGAACATGTCATTGGTCAAGAAGCAACTTCAAGGGCGAGCTAGTAGTCATACACAAACTCGTTTGGTTTTTTCAAACTACATCATACGCAAAGTGCAACAACGAGTGACAAGTTGCATTCTTACGATCATGCCACGTTCTGCATGATTTTTATGGTTTGACCACGTACTCCGTGTTGAATTAGCACAGACGTATAATTTCTGGTATTGTTTCGTCGTATCAACATTACATTCCAAGGATGCAGATGACGTCGAAAGCAATGTCAGCTCGGGTATGAAGTCGTGTTTTGTTGGATTTAACTAATTCACATTCCATCATTTTCCAAATATAGTTATCTAAGGGGGAAAAAAAACTAAATTTTATATTTATGATTTTGACTAGTCAAACATTTCTTTTTAACAACATGACAAGTCATATATTGCATTTTTTATAATGTAGGGAAAAGAAGTTGCAATGACAAATGGTTTACAACTACATTTTGCTTTAAAAAGTCCAATATTTTAATGGCAAGAGAAAACATATATATATATATATATATATATATATATATATATATAATTACATTAACATGCAAGCAATTTAACTCCATTACTAAAGAACATGACAAGTCAAATTCTCTTTTGTTGGTATCATTTGTATATTAATAAAAATAACTGGTTAATAGTTTTATTTTTTTAACCTGGATATTCAACTCGATATGTGAGCTAACTAATGTTTGGGTGATCACCTGCTTTGCAGGTAGGACGTACCTACTTTGGTGGTTACGGTGGCACGTGCCACCGTATTATTCCTCCGTCGAAGGGTAAAAAAAATTTAGGTTCATAAAAGGTGCAACCGTATTGGTTTGTTGTGTGTCATTGTATGTGTTTTGAAACTATAATGAGAACAAGTTTTATTTGGTATAGTTGTTTGCAAGTCTTTTATTCCACCCTAGACCCAAGTTCGAATCGTATTAGTGTCATTTTCTTAGTCAAATGGTGCCACTGATTGAAAAAAAAAATTTCGTATATTTATTTCTTATAGTCAAACGATGTCAAATTACGTCAACTAGTTTTTGTTATTAATTATATCAATAAATATATGTTTTTACAAAGAAATAATTAAAGAAAATGCATGAAAACGAAGATGGTCATGTACAATGATTCAAAGTTATTGAGTAAAAAGACCACATTATTATGGTCATGATTGTTTTTGTTTTTGAGGGGCAATCGTGCTCATGATTATGGTTTAAAAGTAATAAGAAATAGCAACAAAATTATCATTGACTCGAAATTTAAAAAGGAACATGAAGAGATTGAACAAATTAAAGAACGTTAATAAAGTTTTATTCATTCTGTATATTCTTTGTATCTCCTTCGGGCCCGATTTAATATGGTTCTATCCGGCTGATAATCTCGGTGTCTTTACTCGCCAGAGAGGAAAAGGTGTTTCTGTTCTAAGCGGTACTGGGATGACGTCACCTTACATCAACCGGAGGATCCTTCTGGAAACGCGGTGACACTTCATGGAAGGTTCGAGAGACTTGCGGTTTCCGGCATTGTGGTTACGCCACTGGCGCCGCCAAATGCTGGTGGTTTGTCGATCAACAAATTCAGGGTTTAGGGTTTGGTTTATACAAATCATGAGGTGCATTGTATTTGGTTTCGTGAGGTGAAATAACATATAGATATAAATTGTATTTGATTTCATTAGATGAAAAACAGAAAATAGATTATAGATGAAATTTGTGTTTGATTTCATGTGGTGAATTAATATATACATGAATACAGGTGAAATTGCGTATTTATGAAAATTGTGGTTTATTTCATGAGATGAAATTTTTTCTACACATATCCCTCCCAATTAAAAAAACACGTTTATTTCATCAAACTTTAAACCATTTCAAACAAAAATCTTATTAATTTATACAGACAGGTTTATTCATACAAGATTTAATGAAAACCAACCAAACAACCTCTAATTTGACTTATATTACAGTATTAATTTATAATTTGTATAATTAGATAAAAAAAACATTTATTATGTGCATATTCTATTTAATCATGCTAAAACGAAAGAAAAGGATAAAAATATTATGAAGATTTTTGTTGGTGATTTTGGTTTCATCAAGCCATTTAGTATGATCGGGATCAAGGTGAGACAAACAAAAATTAGACTTAGCTATAATTCGAGTTGGGAGGTGCGAAGTGCATGCTCGGATAAATTAAGTTGATCTTAGGAACGCAGGGGCCTAGGGGCAGCGCCCCTCGTGGGATTCTGAGGGGAAGAGCCCCCGGTGGCGGTCCCTCTAAGTGGGATCAAGGAGGGACACCCTTGTTGGGAACAGACACGACTTCCCGCCAAAAATAATCGACTTAACCGCTAGTTGCTATATAAGGCTTCATTTGGTGATTGCAGATCATCTTCTTCGTATATATTGTTACCCTGTCGGATTTTGTCTCTAAAGGAGCATAATCCAGATTTGTGTTTGTGATTGTGATCGGGGTCAAGGGGGGACACCCATGTTCAAGCAAGGTATTATGTGTTTGTGATCTTGGATTTTGCCTGAAATCCAGATTTTTTGTTTTTGGATTATCCCCAAATCTGATTTCGTGATACCCCATGCAATAGGGTCGAAATCACATATTTTGAAAAGTGTTTTATACACGATCCTTGAATTATCCAAGTAATTTTTTGATATTTTGTTTTCAAAATCTAACAATTTTGATGTAGGGTCTCTTTTTTTTATACAAAAAATTATAATTTAAAAACATTTTTATATAATGTTACAAAATATAATGAGTAGAATTTTTAAAAAAACAAAAAATAAATAGAAAAATAGACCATCAAATTATCGTAATATTATTGTACAAATGAAATAAGTAATTACCTTAAAATGATCATATAATATTCATATGACTAATAATAACCCTTCAAATTCAAGACTCCACTTACTTTAAACAAAAAAAAAAAGTGCTTATTCTTTGATTTAAATTATTAAGATTTTAAACCAAAGGCTTTTGGCCTAGCGGTATGTGAGTCATTGGTCTCTTAGGAGATCAATGGTTCAATTATCACCAAAGGTAGGGAGAGTGTGTGAGTATTTGTTATATTTATCGTATATAAATATTATATATTTCCAAAACAAAAAGATTTTGAGTGAATTTGTGTAAGGTAACCAATAGTATAATTAATTGGAAACCTTAAAAATGTCGAAACCTATGAAAACAACTGAAACATGTATTGTTTTATAATATGAGTACATTACTCTGTGTTCACATATATTATTTCACAATGTGAAACGAGACTATATATTCATATTTATTATTTCACTCACAGAAACTGTACAAATTTTACTGGCTCTTATGGTTTTCAACATTTTTATATTCCCATTTGGTTCATCGTTCATTGTTATCATGTTATAAATTGATTATGTTAATATGTGTGTGTGTGCACGCATGTTGGACTCAGTTATTATCTATAGGGGCCAGAACCCGTATATTCTTTGATGTATTATGTACAATAAAGAATTTCAATGAATATAAGCATATATTGTTTAGCGGGAGATTTTTATTGGGGAA